TTCCAGTGTTCAATGAATGACATTGGTTGTTAGTGATCGAATGAAAACAACTTACTATTTTAAACTTGTTCAATTCATTGCCAAAACGAATACGGAACTTGCCATTAATGAATAGATGATTATTATCTATATTAATCATAAATTTCATTGTAAATTACTGCTCTACTGCACCAATGTTTGGTTTACATGTAATAAAAATCACTAGGTGACAAGACCATCTCGCGGTTTTGTGGTTCGTATCATTGTATCGACAATATTATTATAACAACTTTTAGAAATAATGTGCTAAGTGAATGCATTATTATCTTTACGAGTGCTACGGTGTCTATTTCGTTTCACTTGCGCATCCTGCTCATTGTGATAGACTGGTATTGAGCCTTGAGTGTTATCAAGCACTGTAAGTAGCGTTTTCCGACAATTCGGCCCTTGGAGACCTGAGAACCTGCCGTTGCGCGTAAAATCGTCCCGCATCGCCACAACCTTGTGCCATCGCCGCGCCACCGATGTCAAATTTTATGTGCTCAGGATCTTGATTGCCGAAATGGGCATGAGGGTTGCAAGAACGGTTGTTACAAAGCATCGAAAAGACGGGAAGGTCCAACGTACTCTTCAATAATCAAACGCAGTTTTTTGTGTAGACAGACAATCCTGAAAAAATCCCCTTTTTATAAGAATAAGATTTCACGATTAAAGAGTTTTAATCTCCAGAATAAAATAAGTAATTTTAAAATAAATATTCTTCAGGGTGAAAATCGTATCCTTTGACCATAAAACAATATTGCGGATTATTTTTAGCGCCAAATTCAAATTTTCAAAAAGAAAAAAATTAAAACTATCATTTTTATCATGTTTCTGTGTCCTGTTTTGATGTGAACAAATTTTTAATAACTATTTTAATAATTATTTTAGCTCAAATGCTATATTTCAATTTCTGTTATTATTATTTAATCAAAACTACAATTTTGCAATTTTTGTGGAAAAAAATTAATTATTGTGAAGACATTCAGAAATAATGCCTAACGTTAAATAAAAACCAAATTGAATCGTATTTAATTTAATCTTCTTCGCTATCGTCATCTATGGGCGGCACAATTCCATCAGTATTAAAAGTATGACACACGTTCAACTGGTTTAATTTTGTGTGGGACGTATGCCGAGCATGTGACAAAGAGTAGATAATTCTTGCTAAGGGAGAACAATAACCACTAGTTCGTCTGCCATTAGCGCAATCACAGAAATAACTTAAGATTCCAGACATTTCTGTTGTATGTGGTTTATTGTTCATGAAACATGTATGTCTTTTTTGTACCAATTGTACTTTGAATTTTCCAATATTCCTTTTTTCCTTTAAGTAGCTAGTAAGATGAATATTATCATCTTCATCTATCATTGGTGCAAAATTCTATATAGCTTGAGACAACTGATCAGTGCCCTTCAGTCCCCAATTTGTATTTTCAATTTTTGCGGCAAGAGAATTTTCAACATCTGTCCTGACATTCATCTGGTTATTGATTTCTTCCACCATGCTTTGGTTGGAATTAAAACGTTTACCAGAAGTGTTACTAGGAAAACTTTCAATCATACAGAGTAATCCCGCTTTTGGTAAAAGTTTATAATCGAGCTGATTAAGTAATATGCGCGATGTTTTTCCCTATACACCATGAATCAACAACACATTTGACCGGGAGAGATGGGTCAGGGAATCAACTGATATCACTGCAGTTCCTCTGCCCGGGATAACCTAGGTCCGAACAACGCTAAAAGGATTTTCGATACTAGCTTGTCAGCTCGGTCGAATTGTCACTGGCTGGAGGAGAATTCTAGCGACCGGCTGCTTGATCAGTAGTTTGCCGTGATATCTCCGATCAATACCAGGCGAATACCGGGGCAGTACTCTAACAAATAGGCCATCGACCGTGCGCAATTTTTCCTACCTCTTCCTTGTCCTATCCTCGCCCCTTCCACCCACTTACACTAACATGCACTGCACTACCACATATGCCGGGAAAGCGGTCGAGAGCTTAGAGCTTGTCCCTGGTGGGGGGAGGGTGGCCCGCTGGTGGAAGATACCTGGTTGAAGTAAACCCCGCTAGCCAACAGTAAGTCGGCGCCGAATCTTGCAATACAGGGGGGGAAAGACCACACCCACTTCCCCAGCAAAGTATGTGTTACACTTACGGAACTAATGTCTTCAGTAGTTGACGTGCCCGGAATCTCGATCAATCTTTTACATCAACTACTTTACATCAAACTCCTGGGACATTTTCAAAATTTAAAAAAAAAACTCCAAATTTTTTGTTAAATTTTGATGTTGAATAGTGTGAAAGACGTTAATGAGTGTGGTTGCGATCTAATTTTCGTTAAAATCTCTGATTTATCGAAAATGGAAAAAAATTAATACTTTCAGCGTCTTCCTACAACTCAAAATTTGGGCATCGAAATTTTGATTAGTGAACTCTAATCTTGAAAGACGCGTTTTAAAATAAAATCAAATTCTATTTTGAGAAAATTCGACTTTTTGTGTAAGTTTGGAAGAAAATATTGCAATTTTTAATTTTTTCAACACCTTTTTTTCTGAAACATGGCTCCAATTTCTTTTCTCTAAATTCTCGTCTCGTATGGATTAAAGGCCGGTAAAACGAAAGATTTTGGGAAATTATCCTTTCCTTCGAAAATTGCTTAAAGTTAATATTTGAAAACTACACAATTTCTAAAAGAAATTATTAAACTGTCGAAAAGTATAGTCATAAATAATCCGATCATTTTCAATATATAATTATTTAAATTAGATTTATTTCAAATATTATTTATAATAAATTAATAAATTAAAAATTCAAAACCTAACATTTTAGAAATCAAGAACTAATAAATAATATTAAAAAAATATAAGGTTACAACTATAATGACAGTGTGTTACTGTTCACTGCTTTTATTTAATGTTTTATAAATGTAGAACTTTTGTATACCTGCTATAATTTGCTCTTAATTATTAATATTAATGTTGAGGGGTTTTGGTGCTAAAATTAAATGCCCTTTCAGATATGAATATTTTTATAATTCTTTTCCAGAAAAATACTGGTGAGTGGAAATTCTGTGCAAAGTTACAACACTATGTTCATCTGGAAAGTAGTTCTTATTCACATAGATGAATTCTTTAAAAACAATCTCTTTTTTATTTTTATTAAACTTATTAAGTTTATTACCAGTTTAAAAAAAACTTGTCTATTAATCATAATGTTATCGGTGGTTGCCCATTGTTACAGTTACAATATCTTATTGATATTTTTAACATGCATTTATTAATAAACTTCTTAGGATACGAATTTCTTAAGTATGTGTAAGAACTATATTCCAGACAATCTCTGTGTAACTTATGGGATCCATGAGAAATACCTTTACGTCCTCAATTAAATTTTTTTTAAATTTATTTATGTCTAATTTTTATTTTTGATATGTTATATTTGTTTGAAAATATCTTATTATTAAAAAATATATAGATCTATAACAAGTTAAAAATAAACATTTTTTAGCCCTTACATATGTAATTTACAAACCAAAATAGCAGTCTTAGTAATTTTTACTTACAAATGTCATTCTGATCTATTCGTGGGCTCGATATATTTATGAAGCACTATTAAAAAAACGAACTATTTATTGGTTCATTTAGATACGTTATATATACACAAGTGTTTGAATGCCAAGACATAAAATCGCTTGGTACAGATGGCATAGTGAAAGTATCAATTTAGTCATTAGTGTAACAAGAATCTTCAAAAAGAGCACACCACTTTATGTACAAATTAAGCATATGTTAATTAGTGATTTTAGATTACATTCATGCGTATTTCAGTGTAGCTTCATGGATTCTATTATCACACAAAGTGTGGATTTTACAACAGGCACCAATTTACAATTTCTTAATAAAAAACTTAAATACTAAACAATATAAATAAAGAATAATTTTAACAATTATAAATTGTTACAGAGAAACAGATAACTTATATACACACACACAAATAACAGATAAACATAATACATTGTTACATTGGAATAATATAAAATTACATTAATATTCAAAGAGGAATGTCTGTTTTAAAAATGAATATTTTTTAGCCTTTACATATGTAATTTAACAATATTTACAAACCATAATAGCAGTTGTAGTAATCTTTATATACAAATGTCATTCTTATCTATTTCTGAGCTTGATATATTTACAAAGCACAATTTAAAATAATAATAAAAAAAAACAACCTATTTTATGGTACATTTAGATAAGTTATATATACCCAAGTGTTTGAATTTCAAGACATAAAATTGCTTTGTACAGATGACGTAGTGAAAGTACCAATTTAATCGTACTTTAATCGTATTCAGGTGTTAACTCATTGTTAAAGAAAACTCCTCAAACACGAGCACACCACTTTTTAATGTACAAATAAGTGAATGTAAATTGAAGTGATTTTAGATTATGTTCTTGAGTATTTCAGTTAAGCTTCATGTATTCTATTATCATACAAAGTGTGGATTTTATACCAGGCAACAATTAACAATTTCTTAATAAAAAACTTAAGTACTAAACAATATAAATAAATCTTAGTTAAAACAAACTTGGTTTGTAACAGAGAAACAGATAACATATGTACACACGCAAATAACAGATAAACCTAAAATATAACATGCGAATAATGTAAAATTACATTACAATTGAAAGAGGAATGTCTAATAAATACTATTATATTATATGAATTGTCATGTGTGCTATTATCATGCTGAGTGTGGATGTTAGCCCAACAATTAATAATTTCTTAATAAATAACACTTAAATCCTAAACAATATAAATAAATCATATTTAAAACAACTTTTTTTTGTAACAGAGAAACAGATTACTTATGTACACAATTAACAGATAACATAATATCTCATTAAATGAGACCAATGTGAAATTACATTACCTGTAAAAGCGGAATATAATTAACAAAGTCTGATATTCTTTGATTCAATCATTTGTTAGAACATACATACTTGACTTATATTTTAAACTATATGCTATAATTCCTTCTAATTCGTCCTCATCAGAATGCAAAATATCGTCGCTCACATTTTCAATGCAACCCATGTCCCGGGTATAATACCATGACCACTGAACTGTTTCGGAAACCCTTCTGTCATATTCTCTTCTATTTTTCACGAAGAGCCGCGCTGCCTCGCTGTTTACCGCAAAATCTGTGTTAGGTTCATTCAACGTCGATTGAATTGCCACTAGCAAAGATGCCACGTCGTACATTGGACTCCATTTGTTGTCTAAAATATCAATGAAAATGTCTCCCGTGTCATTTATATTGGGATGGAACATCTTGGAAACAAATCTAACTTTCGGCGGTTTCATAGGGTATTCTTTCGTGAATCTCAATCGTATTTTGAAGGTACCATCTTCGTATGGTGTGTCTGGCGGTCCAAAAATCACGCCTTTCCAAACCAAAAAGTTACTAGTTTTGGGTGCAGCACACACTCCTGAAATAAAATCTTGTTTCATTCTGTCGAAATCTATAATTAGACGTTTAATTGCGGGATGGTCCATTGATGTTAAAAGCTTTGCACTCATCCCAACGAGTTTTTTAAAGAAAAGTTCCTGTTGCACTCAGTAACCACCAGTGATTCTGTAAATTGAACGTAAAAAAAATACATAATTGTTTTTACAAGTATTGTACACGAACTAACCAAATATTAGAAAGGAAACTGGACTTACGCGAATTTGTGCTTAAATCCACTATCTTCAACTACTCACAATTTAAGAATAACTGCCTAGTTAAACAAGAACTTCGAAACAAGTGAAAACAATTCAGACTTTTAGTATTGAGATTCCATTGACACTGTTCAAAAAGTTTTAAAGACAATTGTTTGAAATAGCTGACCAGATAAAGAGGTATTATTTTGACAACTTTTAAATTACATTGCATGTTCATATAACTACATTGTATGTATTGTGTTTGTAGGGTATGTGACATTTTTTCATTTAAGAGTGGAACGAAAAAAGTTACTACTTCCGTAGATGGTGCCAACATTTATGTGAATTCTGCTGTTATAAGTTGGTTAAATTGAGATATTGTTGACGGCGGTGTCCTTGTGTTTCTCATATATGTGCATTTAGTAATTTTAATTAATTATTTTATGATGGGTAAAGAATGAAATCTACAAAATTGGAGATATACGAGATATAGGTCTAATAAAAATGAGTATAATAGCGATTCTCTACATCGGGTCGCACTGTTTTCCTATTCATGTAATATTCTTCAATTTTCTTATAGAGACCGATGACAAGGAATCATTGTTACACCTTATGCCTAATAAAACCATTCGTTTTAGAAATGTAATGCGAATTTTGAAGCCATGATCGTGCTGAGAAGAATGTTCGGTAAATATTTAAGAGAAATTCATTTTGTAAGCCAGGAAATGTATCAAAGATAAGTCATCGGCCACTATATAAATATCAAATTCTAGTTTTGTAGTTGAACATCACATTGCGTGGAAATCAGTCAAGATGGCCGACAACAGTTAAGATGGACGAGTGTGTAGTGAACCTTCTTCCGAGGTAGGTACCTGAAATAAAATTGTAACATCTTTAACCAAAATGTGAATAGCGATAAACAATAACGAAAAGAGGTAGTGCTTTACTAATACTTTATAATTTATTTTGCAGGGCGTTTCTTGTGAATGCAAATATGAAGGTTGCAAGAAATCCGACTTTCATTAGGAAAAAAACTTCCCGTTTTCAGAGTATTATGTAAGGAACCATGTGCATCTTATAAATGCAAGAAATGAGGAAGAGCGCAGACATAGCTGAGAGAAGCAATAATGTTTTAGTACGATGCAGAGAATTATTTAAAGAACCATGAGCAACTTACGAATGCTGGAAATGAAGAAACCAATGAGATTATGTTGGAAAATAAAAAGAACCACAAGAGTAAGCTATGCAGTACTTAAAAAGCAAGAGCAAGAACTTGCCAAGAGAAACAATAATATTGTAGTACGATGCATTGATGTTCAGGAAGTTTTTTTTTCCATGTTAACCCACTCAAAAATACTTTTTGTCAGTACCAGTTTTCTACATACAACTACTGTCTAAGTGATGATAACACTGATGAAGTAACGATGCACATTTGGCGGAAAGCAGTTGCTACAAGCACTTAAAAAAGAGGGTCTTCTCTGATGTTGCTTCCTGTCTTCTCAGTTATAGTATTGAGAGATTTAGGCTTGTATCCCTTGGTGATACAAGTTTTCTCATTTTTTGGTCTGATAGATATATATAGAAAAAACAGAAAATTTTTTTAGGTATATGTTCAGTAGGTTGAATTGTTGAAATACTTTCATTTTGAAGTATATCACTCAAAAAGATTTTAAAAATTTTAAAGTCAAAACATTTACATTTCCAAGATTTTAAAATCACAGCTTTGCTAGCAATAACTTTGTGGCTTAAGTTTCATGAGATGATCCATTATCGGTTAATGAGAAGAAATAACATATTTTGCAACAATGGTGGTATGGTGTGTGTATTCTTGGAAAAAGACGAGTAGCTTTTCAGCTGTGCTTGTTATGCTTGGCTCTCTCACACGTTTATACAAGGATCCATTAGAAATTTCTGATGAAAAGAAGGTCTTTTACTCATGTGTGAACACTGTCAGATCTATCTATAAATTAAAAGGCACTGCTGATGGAGATATACTACTGCGAGTATAAGCATTTAAGTTTAAATTTTCTTTTATTTATCATAATTATGTTTAGGAGAGCTAACATCAATTTGCTTAAAATCAAGTTATTTTTGCGATCAGTAATTACATCCTTTTTCCATTCTGACCATTAAACAAACTATAATAATGTGGAGACATACATTTATAAACATGAGCTATTGTATAGACACTGAATATAGTTGTATTCTCGCCTTCGACAATGAATTTATTGATGTATTTTATGAAATAAATCCTACAAACATATTTCTTTCTGTTATAAAATTGTGGTTGTGTTAGATTCTTTTTCCTTCAATTTAGTATTAAGCATTTCTGAAGAATCACTAATTTAGCTGTGAGTTGTTGTATCCTTTAATGATAGAAAACGGAAGATGGGAATAATACGTTTATTGCATTTTGCACTTGCATTGACAGTAAGTACCACTTACTGTATATATTACTGCACTTATTGTATATTACTGTATACTTATTATAATTCTTATCTTGATACAAATGCATAATGTAATAAACACATTCAGCTCAACTTTGTCTATAATTAAAGATTATTTTAACCCATTAAGTTTGTACAGATGGTCACAAGTAAAACCTTATTTATTGAATGAATTGCCTATTGTTTTAATAAGTTATCATAAGGAAGCTAATTGAAACTGTTTTAGTAGGCAAATTTGTTATTTCAATTCAGAACATTCTGTTTTTAATTTGTTAAATTATTTTATTTTATTTTTGGTCATTATTGGGCCTGTACTTAATAATTTGCTATTGAGGATAATGCAAATATGTTGTTACCTTTAAAAACAATTTGTGAATATATTTATTTTTTTGAATGAACTATTGGCAGGAGTCTATGACAAACAAACCACCACACACACGCGTATGTGAGTGTGAGAGAGAGAGAATATGAAACGAAAAATTGTTACAGGTAAAAGTAATATATTTTTTAGCCTGATCTTTTAAAACTGATAATTTTAATTTTCATAATTAAAATGTTGCCAGGTATTTGATTTATTCTCTTTAAGTATTAATGATAATTACTCGTGTAGTAATAGTAATAATACAATTTTTTTTTTAAAGTTATTGTATGTTTCCAGGTGGGTGTGAAGACTGTCGAAAGCATTAACAATAAACAAAAAGCAACATGAAACTGACCATCCCAAAAGTACCCACAAAAGGAAGCGTCCAGTTACTGTTCCTAACAATTTCACAGAGGACAGAATTGTTAATGAAATAATTTCCTAATTGAGTGCAGGTTACCAATTAAAATTTATAATTATTTTGTTGAGGAAAGTTTGGTTGGCACATTTTTATATGGTAATGTTTTTCCTCCAGTCATAAATTGAAATTATTTTGTAAAATCCAAATTTAGTAAGTTTTATTTTTTACTAGTATTATTTTTTATCGTTTCACAATCATTATTTCCCAATCAGTGGGGCTCATATATATTCAATTTATTTCAATTCTTCTTTTGTTATTACTTCCAAATCATTCTTGTAATTTCTAGTTTTCACTCAAATACTAGACTATAGAGTCTTCTTGTAAATATAAATGGCCACTTTAATATTACTTCACTTTTTTATAGCCTATTTGTATCATTATTCTTAACTGCCAAAATCTCTACCTATATCCCACATGCATTCTTAATTACTCGTTGGCATAATAGAGTAATTTTAACGCTGAGAGTAATTATGGTTTTACCTGTTTTTTTCATAGCCCCCATCAACCCCATTGTAGTGCAATAAATATATTAATTTTGAAGTGTTTGACTGCCTTTTGGGAATTTTTTGACCTGTATTTGAAATGAAAATTGGAGTATAATATGAACTTATTTGAATTATTTAACAATTTCATGAGCTCGTGTATGATGTAATTACTGCTTGAGTAGCTTATTGTAATGTAGTTTCAGTTACAAAGAGTAGTAATTTGTAATATCGTTATGCAACTTTATATATTTACTGGGTATTTTATAGTGATAGTATATATTCATGTATCAGTAAATGACTTTTAAACAATAAAAAAGTTATTTTAATTACTGTACATATTTGTATAACATACCATAATTATTCACACCTTCATACATCATACCTTATTTAAATAGAGAAGAATTAGATACAAAGAGGAATACTGACTCTGGTAAGAACATACAAGTCTCTAAAGACATTAATTTATTATCTTTTAAGAATTATTTATCTTATTTAAAGTTCATAAATTTAAATACTTGTGGTATTTACTTTTTGTTCGTTATAGACCATTACTAACCGAGGCAACCATGAAGACATTCATTATGCTTCCACCTCAAAAGTATTATTAACACAGAAATCTGATCATAGATAATTTTTAAGGTTGTATATTTTATTTACACAGAACACTCGTCAACATCTCTCACACATGTTGATAATGATAACTCATGTTAAGCACAATTGATCACCAAGTTGATATTAGTTTACAGAAGAAAATATGTTTTTAATTCTAATTGCAAACTGGATACAGTGAACTTTTGGGGAGTAATATTTTGGGTTCACTGTATCAGAGGTTCACTACATCTGATGATGAGTAAATGAAATATAATTTCTCCACAATGGTTGTTTTTATTAATATAGATATACAGCACAATACTTAAACAGCATGATCTGAAAATTCAAGTAAGTGTGACGTCATGGATACACACAGCGAACACAGACACAGAGCTTTCATATAACAAATATTTATTTACAAAGAAAACACAAGAAATATTTACAATGAATTTCCTTCTTACACTCTAGCTCCGATAGATCTACTGTCCCCTGATCGCGGGAGCCATCCAAACCGGATTGATGATCGGTTTCGATTGTGGCATTCGCCA